CATTATAATATTTTGCAAGTGCCTTCTCGTTCAGTAGGAGAGGAACAAGTCCCTTAAAAATGATGTCATCGTTAGGATGTGTAGATACATATTCGCCCTCGAGCATGTAGTTTTCATCAGATTTGTCAATTGCTTGTTTTCAATATCTTAAATATTATTTAAACCACAAAATCTTGAACATAAAGGGATTAGTGCATGTATACAAGCATTGCCCAATATAATGCATCACATTACAAAGCTCACAATTTGTGTCTTCTTTAAACATATCCTCATCATCCATGTCATGTTGAATTATTGTAATTATTTTGTTGCTCTTTCTATTGTCAGAATCATGCCCCTACTTGTTCGTGCGAAACCTGCAAGTGTACGGCATTGTTGAGAAATAATAAATTTCATGAGTTGAGAATATCGTCTCAATGGGAATAAATTCAATTAAAGTTTACTAGTTTCGTATGAAATTCAAATTATATAACACAAAAGAGATTTGACTTTTATGATTATTCTAAATTAATTATAAGAAAGCGGTAAAAAAAGTGTTCTTGTATCAAATTATGAATGATTGCAGTAGTTTCGAATCCGTCAATTACTATTTATCTTAATTCTTAATTTGTAATCTAGTTTGGTTGATGTGTTCTTGATAATCGATAAAACTATGACATAAAATTCTCTTTTTCAAAACAAATTAAATATATCCTAATCACGACCCGAATCTATTCCTAATCCGAATTATTAGAACTTATTAAAGTTTATACTATTTATACGATTGCACACGTGATAAATGTTATTCCTAACATCTATTCCACATAGATTAATTTTGTCGCGTTCTAAACTTATTGTATGTTTTCCAACACTACAACGAGCAACCAATTATCTAACTGAAAGATAATCAATTAAATAATACAATGTGTATGCAAAATTAATCAAGAAATACAAAAAGTAAACTATAATACTAGTATAGAATTAAAAATAAATAACAAATATGGTTCATTTTCATCCAATATAAAAATGGATCTAGCCCAACATATTAATATATAAATTACAAGAGGAATAATAGAAAAATATCACTAAAATCATGAAATAATTCAAAAGATGGTAATCTTCAAGTTCAAGGTCGAATTCTTCAAAATTTTGATGTAATTGACTTCAATTCCTTGCCTGGGTTTCATCTCCAAAATATAATAATTGGCCTCTTTATTTTTGATGAATTTGATGATACTAATAAGTATGAAGAGGTAAGAAAGGATTTTTTTTTTCAATATCTAACCCTTGTTTTATATTTATAAGAGCCAGAAAATCGGTCAAAATTGCGTTCAATTTGGGTTCCAAAAAAGTTTGAATCACGAAAAGGAAACTTCTAATTCATAAGCGAAAATGGCATGTGCATGCCGTTGAGCCAAATGGCTCTCGGGTCTAAATTTTGGTGTCATGCGAGCGCTAGTTCTGTTCGCTTCGTCTCTAAGCGTTTTGGTATTTTGGTCATAATTTTCTTTTTCGATATCCGATTAAGGTGATTCAAAGTGTTGGAAAGCTAACTCAAAGAGCTACAATTATTTTAGAAACACAATATTTCTAATTCGAACATTTGCTATCCAAAAAATGAGTCTTAGAAGCAAAAAATTCGAAGCATAACTTCTTCAGCTGAAAATTGATTTGTGAAAATATTACAAATGTTGACCTTCAATTGCATCCAATTGATCATATATGATCTTCATTTATCGTTTTGTAGGTTGAATCAACTGTTGGATATTTACCATTTGGTCCCAAACTTTGAATTTGCATTTGAATTCAACCTAACAAATATAATTAGCACAAAATTAAGTTATAACTCATCTAAATCACTAACAAATATTTTAATGTAATGTCTTAAATAAGTGTATAGAATACACTCATCAATATACCCATTTGTTGACATAATACATTTTTCGTATTAAAATAATAGTATCGAGTAGCTACATAGCCTATGTTTTCACAAGTCTAGTCTAGACTCAACGCCGCACTTTATGCACTTTTTAGTGAGAGATTTTTGAATTCTTAACATTTGAGTATAAATTTGAATCTCGATGTGGTAGAAATTATCAATTATGACTTGACTTTTACAAAATTTAAAGATGGAGTGCAAAATCGTTGAACCACTTAAAAGTTCAACTTTAAGTCACATGAAAGTTATGACTCCAGTGACAGTTTCAATTTTGTAGGAATCTAGATTCATGTATTTGATTAGGGTCTGTCCCCACAAACCCCCAGCCAATAGGGGGCCGACACATGGCCCTGGCCATGTAGCATTGCTCCAAATGGAAAAAGATAAATGGCCGGGGCCCATGCCATCCTGGGGAATATGTTGCCAACTCAGAACTTCAAGTTAGGGATCCAAAACCATACTGCTACCTATTGGAGAGTCAAAAGATGAAACCCCTCAACTAAAGCTAGCATTCACCATGGAAATTCTACTATAATAGCAAGAAAACCATAAATTAAATCCCCAAGTAAAAGAAGAATAAATGGATGAAAAAACAAATTGTGATCATCTTGTGCTCTTTCCAGATTTTCCAGAGGATATAAGGTACAACATTTGGCCGGGCCAGGCTTCAATTCAACTGGAAGATGGAAAATCTGGTGTAAAAGAGCGAATAAAAAATTTTTGAGAACACCATAAAACAATCATAAAACATCCTACAAGAATATTAACTTGCCGCAGGACTTGTAGATTCAGCTTGCTTTTTCGGGCAAGAAGATGAAAGGTGGCCACGTTCTCCACACTCATAACATGTTCGCCTCCTTATCTTTGAACTGAGCATGGGGTCCACGGCGCTTACCCCACTGCTATTAACATGATTTGCACCAACTTCAGTCACCTCACTGGTGTCGACCTGATTATTTGTTGGTATGAATTTTGACTTTGTGGCATCTCCCTTCTTCGGAACAGCGCAGCTTATTCTAACAGGTCTCTCACAAACAATCTTTTGATCCATTTTCAATGCCATATTGAGAGAGAGACTATTAGCAAAATCGACATGAGCATATCCTTTGAATTCACCAGTCTCCTTATCTTCACCAAATCGGATAGAGGTAACAGCGCAATCTGAGAAAAGTTTCCTCAAATCGTCCTCGGATATATCCCACGACAAATTCCCAACATAGATCCTATTGTAACCCTCCACGACCGATGGAGAAAAGTTGGATACTTCGCTAACTCTAGGTGACTTGTAAGGCTGGATTTTCAGATATAGTCCACCCCTGGAAGAAGGTAGAAATTTTCATAACCATGACAAAAGGAGATCGGGAAAACAATATGCAGCGAATCAGTGACTTACATGTCAGATCCATCAAATGCCAAGGCTCTTTTAGCTGCTCCTTCTGTCTGCAAAAGAATAATGGCAACATTAGTCCAGCAACAGCTAATTACAATGAGCAAACCTTAGATCTACACGAGCAATGCAACTATGTTCGCCCTTGGTTGCTGGATGGGAAAAAATCTAGTTTCCAAACGTTCTTAGACATGAACCAATAACCTTAATCGTATAGGCTTTAAAAGTAATAGACAATTAGATATGTATGCTATGTTACAACATGTCTACTTCAACATAACATGTTCAGTTAATCAAACACTACAACTTGCCATAGTGTGTGCCCTTGTTCCATCAGCTTCACCAAGACATTTTTCTCCGACCAGTAAAATTTCATTAATTAAAAAACTCTTTATAATAAAAAGCATACATGGAAAGAAAGAAATAAAACCAAATCAACATCTATATACAAGACTACATTTTCCAAGAATTTACACGAAGTGGGGTGGACCCTTCTCCAGAAGCAAAGGAAAATTGGACAAAAATCTTGCTCTTTCAAAGAGGATTTCGATGCCTTAAAATATGTTCTCTTGCTCTGTCTATCATACATAAAAGCCATGTTGGTGCAAGCTTCAGGCTTTAAACTTGAGATTCAACTCCAACTATCTAAGCTCAAGACCATAGCCAAAACAATTTTTCCCATCACCCATATACATCAAACAGAATAAAACAGACTCGATAATCCCCTAACAATATCACAGTGAAAGAGCGCGTGATTGACATCTTCATCAGATCTTTTACGTAAAACAAAATGATAAAGCTCAGAAGTCAGAATTATACTTCTCCCCAAATAGTCAGTGATTGAAATAACTTCCAAAGAAACTCTCTGCACACAGAAAAGAAATGTTATATGATTCTTACTTTCGCAAACTGGCACCCTTTAAGGAACTCGTATTGGTTACCTTCAGGTCTAGATAATGCCAAGTTGTAATCAGCAAACAGTGTCAAGCCACTCAAGACTCACTAAGTATCCTTCAATGAAGCCAACTCCGAATAATGTTTCCATAAAACCGCTCAACACCTCAATAGCCAGGATAAAAGGCAAGGTGGGTATAGGATACCCTTTCTTGTCTGATTCATTAGTACTCCAAATAAACCAGAATGTTCTGCATATACCAGAATAGAAAATTTAATAATGCAGTGCAAAAGAAAATCCTGTCTCCTTTTCCTCCCCAATACTAATCTTCTCCACAGTTCACAGGAGGAACTTCCAATCAACATAGTCATAAGTCTTCTCCAAATCTTCTTTCATCACATATCACACTACTTCCTCTACATCCAAGAATCAATAAGCTCAAATGCCCCCACAACAGCGTTCAGTATTTGACTTCGCTCAAGCAGAATTTGACTTCTCTCAAGAAAAGCATGCTGCAAGAAAACAATTAAACCTGCCAGTACCCTTTTTGTCTCAAAAGAACGATCTTAGAGAGGATTTTATACACCCATCCCATTATTCAAAGAAAGAAACTATCCATGTTAGAAATAAAGGCCACAAAATTGTCATTAAAGCTCTNAACGATCTTAGAGAGGATTTTATACCCCCATCCCATTATTCAAAGAAAGAAACTATCCATGTTAGAAATAAAGGCCACAAAATTGTCATTAAAGCTCTTCTGGAAAGATTTAATTTTATAAAAGGAATACAGACTATGTGTCACATCCTTTCCCACCTTCCCTCAATATTTCTCAATCCTTCCAGGCCAAACACCAGGTCTCTTGTTGAAATCTCGAGATGATTGGGGACTGTTATAGATTGTCTTTACATATATACAACAGATGTATATATGGTAGGATTATTTCCTAATGAGAAATATTCTCTATGTATATATATGTGTAACCCGTTTATGAAAGATAATAAGAAATTCTACCAAATCAAATCTCTCAACATGGTATCAGAGCAAGGTTTCTAGGGTTTGGTATTTTTTTTCACTTCCTTTCTTTCCTCTTCTTCTTTTTCTACCTTTTCTTTTCTGGTAGGGAGTTGGGTTAGTTGATATTGATTAAAGACAGCAGAACCTGAGTATATTTATGGTCGGACAAATGCCTGTTGTTGTTTATCGAGGTTGCTTCTGACGTCTGAGGAGTGTGTGCTTGCGGGAGTAGTTGCCGATCGCTTGTTCGGCGGTGTGCGATTGTACCAATCGCGTGTGTCTGCGGCATTAGGCTGGGATTTCTCTGCTAATTCTGTGGCGGTTCTATTCGGCAGTGTTCGGCTGGGATTTCTGGCCGGCGATTTCTTGGAGCAGGATCACGAGTAGAGTAATCTTGGGCTGAGGTTTGATAACGAGCATGATAATGGGCCGTTCCTTTGGGCTTTAAGGTGGATCTTTTTTTTTAGGGAAATTATAAAAACTCAGGTGCTTAAA